GCAATATGTTTCTACCAACACTGGCGGAATAAAATATTAAGGTTCAAAGACTTCAATTTGTGAAGTTTAAAGACAAATCACCACAATTTCCTCTGTTATTGAAGTTAATTAAATATATTAAATATATTATTATTCATTAATAGCTTTTAAAAGAATGGCAGTTGAAGATTTTTTAAAGCCAGAAGTGTCCCTTAAAGTCTGGGCTGAGATCACATCTCCGAGAGCTGATGGGTAGGACAGTTTTCTGCACAGATTCACCTTTATGAGAGCATATTCCAGCCTTTCCTCCACAGAGCTTTTCCGCCACTCATCAGTCTGTACAACTTTTCTTCCTCCTTGGGCATGATTCTGAAAAGGAAAGACATCTTCTAGGAGCTTTCAATCATAAAAAAGTACAACTACGGACTTTACTTTTAAAAAAGTGAGGACAATTTCAAGTACTCACCCATAAAATAATTTTAGATTATTTGAACAGGGTTTTTTACATACATGCAAATCATATTGCAAACACCTGTGATGCACTACAGACACTTAGGGGGTCTATATCCCAAAGAGTATATACCTCAATGAAGATGTAAACAACAAACAAAGAAGAAGAAAAAAAAAAAAGGGAACAGTTTACTAATTTTCACGTTCTTAAAAATGATGAAATGACTAATCCTAAGGGGTTTACTTCTGGGACCATAATTTAAATTGATTCCTGGCCCACACACAACACTTCATTTTAAAATTCTAATTAATTTGGCACTAATTCAGTTTCTGCTGGCATAGGTTATGTTACTCTGTATCACACATGTGTTTTCAACCAGGCAGCCTACAGAACTACTGTTTCTCATGCACATAGACTGTCCCAAAGCCTCGCATATCCTCTTTGCCCCACATTCACACTCCCCTTTGTTATGAATGCAAAGGCCAAAAGGGCTTCACAATGCTGGAAAACTCGTAAACGCCCACGCCAGGAAGGCTCATGGAAGTGGAAGTGCACCCCATCCATTCCTTCTACCACCACACTTCAGGCAAGTAATTTATTTTCTTCCCTCGGTTATTCAACATAATCTGACATTTTTCAGTCCTTATGAACTTCCTATACTTTTGAGTGCTCCTCAGCAAGTTTTTAAAGATAGAGCCATGCGAAAAGTCATGGAAACAAGATCTCACTCATGGGAATAGAAACCAGAAGAAGTTTTCATTCATGTTTATACAAATGTCAGCTAACTTCACAGCTTCTCGTTGCCAAACCTTATTCCCCTCATAGGTGTAGTCTGTAAGAAGGGAACGAAAGAAGGACGAAAATGTTACCCAGAGAAGTTGTAGAGTCTCCTTCCTTAGTTACATTAAAAACTCGATTGGACATGTCCCTGAGCAACCTGGTCTTGCCGACCCTGCTCTGAGTAGGGGGGTTGTACCAGATGATCTCCAGAGGTCCCTTCCCACCACAGCCCTTCTGTGATTCAACTAAAAGGCACCAAGTGCTCCTCAACCTCTGGCCAGATACTTCAGCAAGGGAACCATTCCAATCTAAAAATAACCCATGAAGCTGTAGGGTGGGCATGCAGGGACCACAGCGGAAAGGATTACATGCAGAACTTTAAAAACAGGATGATTTTACTGCATGCTGAGGATGAAAAAACCTGCCTTTGGAAGCCCAACTCCCATTGCCATAAATGGGACAGTTTCAGTTTGAGAATGTCTGCAGCTATACACTTTATGAAAAATGTTTTTTACTCTCAAACTTCAAATGAAGACTGATCTAAATCTGCAAGGATTAAGTTCCTCATTTTTCCCCACAGGTCTAGCATTCCAGCAACTGGCAAGTACACTACTATTACTTGAAGGAACAAGGAGGAAACTTCCCTGGTGCTCTATTTGAGGTGCGATACTTGAAATGCAACTGCATATTCTATATTGTTTGTATAGAATAAACTGCAGTAATTGGAAATAAAAAGAACATATGCACTTACTGACTAACAAATAAACTTTTCTGTTAAAAAAAAAAAAAAAAGACAACTTTAGACAAAAGAACTTAAGAGTCACTCAATTCCACTGTATCAGAGGAAGGTCTGAATAAGTATTTTGAAATACACCTCAAACTCCAAAACCTGATGTAATAATCCTTCTCACTGGCAGTAAGTGGCTATCTATTTGGACTCTCACATCTGTCCAGAGCCAAGATGAAACTCAAATCAGGATGTTTACCTCCAATGAAAACCTGAATGTTGTAACATTTTATGTTAAATAGAGCTTTTAAAGCTGTTCTGAACCAAGAGTGTCTCTCTTTTTTGCAACCAGGGGCTGTTTTACTCCCACAATAAAACTACCACCATGAATAAGAGCAGTTTCCAACAATGGCTTCCTAAACTTCTAGACCTAGAAGGAGTTGTCATCCACTTCCATTTCTACTTTTCATGCTCCATTTAAATTCACATTCTGCCTTCCACAGAAACACTGCTGAAGCAACCCACTTCTAATTCCCCTTCTTTTTTTCCTTCCTCTTTATGCAACCCTGAATACCCTAATGGTAAAACTCTGCTTATATAGACAGGATCACTCCCAGGTGAACTGCATAGACACTAAGAGCACCATTTAAAATAGCCTAAGCACAAGGGATAGCGAGAGTCCTCCTGTACCGGTTTTCAACATGTTGCCATTGTTCCTAAAAAGCACCCGCCACTGCAGGGCAAACTACAAACTAAATGAAGCTGTGCACAAAAATAATACCTTCAGGAGCTACAAAATGGGCGTGCAAACCTTTTTGTGTGCTTAAATCTAAAAGCCACCTAACCCAGAGAGGTTTTTGCTGTATGTTCTGTTCAGAACAGGATTTCACCAGTTGTCTTATGGCTGATAATCTGGAAACCTTCAAGCGTGTCATCTTTGTCTTTTATCACTGCTGTCATTACAGCATCTAAAAAACACTAAATAGCTGATCCTCACTCTTGACATGAGTTACATGAACTGGAGGTCTATGGCACAGCCAGGAACTGCATGTAACTACTTCACCTTTTACATATACTCCAAGCAAACCATTACTACCAAAGAGACAGGTTTACTCTTTGTCTCCCACAATGCACTTGTCAATTAAGCTCCAGGACTAAGATCTGCTTCGGTTGTGGGTTGGCCTTTCATTTGTTTTTTGTTTGTTAGGGTTTTTTTTTGTTTGGGAGGAGTTTGGGATTTTTTGCTTCTTACTGGTTTTGGATTTGTGATTTTTTAAAAAAAAACCCCATGCAGCTTGGTCTCCTGAAGCATATGAAGAACTCTGCTGCAGGATCTTACAAGGCACCTATGAAATTGGAAAAGCTCAATCTCTCACAGAGTTCACATTTTATTCTATATTAATAAATGAACCACTTGTAGTATCATTAGTAACTTCTAACATCCACTGTTAGATTGACATGTGCAGTTTATAGGCTGTTCTACCTATCATCAGCAGGGAGCTGTTAAAGCCCAGGTGTTAAGCTAACTACTATTCAAAGCTTAAAATTATAAATTACCTGAGCATAATGTAAGAGTTTCTCTGTCGCATCAGGATCTTTGTTCCAGATTAGATTCTCGCACAGCTGCAGCAATTCCTTATGGATATCGTCATACACTGGCAGATTCCCAGCATTCACAATTCCCATGTCCATGCCATACTGAAAAAAATCCATACAGAATCCCCCAGCCAGGGCTGTCAGACATAGCACTGCACATCTGCCAAGTGCAAACATATGGAAGCCAAAAGCACATCATACCTTAATTGCGTGGTAAAGGAACACCCCATGCATTGCTTCTCGAATGGCATCCATTCCTCGAAAGGAGAAAGACAGATTGGAAAGACCTCCGCTTATCCTGGCTCCCGGCAGTGTTTCCTATAGGAGTTGCACAGAGATTTTTAGAAAAGTGCTTTCCAAAAAGGAAACCTAAGCAAAGCATTTACTCCATAAAACAGTTGGCCCCTGAGCTGTGGTGAATTGGCTACACACCCTTTCTCTCTTCCCTGTTCCAGATCTTTCTAGTTACTCAAATTCCTACAAAGTAGTTCAAATCTCTGTAGAAAAAGATACAAGAAAAAGGAAAGATCCAGCCTAGTTACATGTAAGCAACTACCATCGTTTCCATAGTCATAGGTGCTATTCTAAACCTATCAGTTCTCCCACAGCAGTATTCCAGATTTTCCCTATGGAGACCTGCTTACAGCTCTTCCATCCCCTGCTCCCCTGGAAAGAGGAGCAGCCAACCTGCCCGCTTGCGTGTCTCAGGAGTAGGCTGTAGCGAGCAGCTAACCTCAGGGGTGTAGCCTCCCTTCCAGAAGCCCTGCAGTGACAAAATAGCCTGCGGGGTGTTCAAGCCCCAGGCTGCTACTGACAGAGCATCTCCAGATCAAGCAAGTTGCCCTGTGAAACGCAACAATGCACCTTCCTTGGCTGTATTCAGGTGATGCTCTTCACTGCTGTACTTCCTTACACACATTTTGGCTAAATAAAACGTCAGGTTACTGCACAAATCCTTTCCACAGCAACGGAAATTTTATTAATTTAAAAAGGCAGCTTTCGTGTACCATCAAAGAGGTCCTTTTAGCTAAAAGATAAATGTGATTGTTACCTCATTTAATTAATACAGTGTATTTACAATAGAGATAATGGATTGAAATACATTTATAGAACTATTTGAAGTCCCACTGGAAATACAGCTACATTGGGGAATGGCTGCACTTCAGAGGAATAGTCCCCCTTGCTCATTCAAAATGCGTATCATTTTGCATCAGCGTTTTGTTGTTGTTCGGGGGCAGGGGGTGTTTTTCTGTTTTGTGGTGGTTTTTAAATAATCTCAGCAAAATACTTCAAGTTAAAATAAATTTACAACTCACTTTTATGGTTTTAGTAGCATTGATAAAATTCATGGCATACAGGTTATGTTCTTCCATGCCAGTTCCTATGGTCAAAATATTAGGGTCGAATATTATATCATTTGGATTGAATTGCACTTTTTCCACAAGGAGGTGATAAGCTCTGGAACAGATTGCAATCTTGGTTTCTGTTTCTGTTGCCTAGTGGAGAAAAAGAATTCTGATGTGAACCTTACAGACAACTCAAAAAATAAACTCCCCAGAAATCATTTACAGTTCCAGTGACTCAAGACCAAGACTCCGAACATTACAATTATTAGAAAAAGATCATATGTAAGGTTTTTGTATTAAAAATATCACCACACTTGTACCTGGAGTTTTGACTCAACTCATTAAAAACAATTTTGTTCCCCAACATTTCATCATCCTATGCAAAGTTTAATACGGGCGTTTTGACATAACTAAATTATTTCATAAAGATTCCTCTCTTATGCAAAAGTTTCTGAATTTAAAAAAATCTTCCATGAGGAAGGAAGAGTTCAGCATGGCTGAATAGCAAGAGACGTGCTCTTGTGCTAGCAGAGCTACACTTAGAGCAGTACTTGGATTCCTCAAACATGTGAGCAGCATAAGAAATGCTTACATATCAGAGTCAAAACTACTGCTAAGACTATACAGAACTCTTTGAATCACCTACGTCAATGAAACAACAACTTTGTCTTGCACAAGAGTAAGAAAGCCTTGCACTCCAGAAGAAAAATGCCTCTCCTTTAAGGCAACACTCACCTGCCCCATTTCATCAAAAGCCATGACAACCACAGCTGCTCCATACAACTTAATTTTCCTTGCTTTCTCCAAAAAGTCTTCCTCACCTTCCTTCAGACTGATGCTGTTTACAATGCATTTCCCTTGGCAACATTTCAAACCTGCTTCAATCACTGAAAAATTTGAGGAGTCAATGCATAACGGCACCTGTAAATAACAGAGAAGTAAGCCAGGGGAATACATACAAGTTATGAATTCGAGTTCCACATGCTGGTTTTGCCCATTTGGACATAAAAATGCACACAACATTGATCAGCATTTATGAATAAAAAGTTCCCAGATGGTATTTGTAGATTCACTTTGCTTTAAATGCAAAACTCATTTAACTCCTGAGCTTCCATGGCAACTCCATCACACATCATATAGACACCTCTACTTCTCCCTGTATTATGCCTCCTGAGCTTCCATGGCAACTCCATCACATATCATATAGACACCTCTACCTCTCCCTGTATTGTCTTGTGTTTCTGAATTAGATACTCATTTTTAAAGAATGTACATTGCAGAATTATCTTTTAAAACCATTCTATATCCACAGCAATTTTAAGTTTTGTGGAAAGCAATACCATTATGTACCGCCAATATATTCTTTTAAAACCATTCTATATCCACAGCAAATACCATTATGTACTGCCAATATACAGATTAAGGCTCGTAACTGCTGCAAAAGGAACCTGCATTCAGCTTTCCTAACCAATGAAAAGGACTGGCATATATTTAGTTGAAATCAGACAGGGAATGGTAAAACCTCTGTTTCTCCCAAAGGCCTTCCCCATTACAGTACTTTTTCCTCTTGGGGGACACCTACATCTGCTTATCAAGGACCTGAACTGGTTACTAAAGAAATCAATATCAAAATTTTCTGAAAAGCAATTTCCAACTCAATAAAATGTTCTTTATTGTGCTTTGGAGTGACTCAGTTACAACCTTTGCAATATCAGGTTCTGAAGAAATCAAGTTACAAAATCTGGTCATTGCAGCAGGGCCATCCAGCATCCCATCATCCATGTTGATGTCAAGAACCTGGGCCCCCATCTCAACTTGTAATTTGGCTACACTCAGGGCTTCCTAAAGAAGAAAGTCAAAAACCAAAACAACAGTCAGTAGAAAAAAAGCTTAGTCCTTCTCAGGATAACATTTCACTTCTCTAAAATAAGCATGCAGCCAAAAAATTAAAAATTTATAAAACATTCCGTAAGAGAATAAGGAAATGGTCTGTGACCTACAACAACATACAAAAGTTGTTAGTATGGCACAACTGATAACTAATTTGTTCACAAAAACATGACACCAGAGATCTCATGTGCTGGCAGTGTCATTGATTTTAGACAGTTGGTCATATGCTTAATTGAATGATTTAAGACTTGCACGGTAACAAGGACTTCTGACCCCACAAGATTACAGGAAAACAGCCTCCATGATGGTATGAAATAAGAGTTTTGCATCACAAGCTCTGCTGTTTTATAACACAGAGTACTTAATTTTTAGAGGTTGTTCGACATTTTTTCCAGCTGCAGAATAATCACCAAGTGCTAAGAAGGAAATACTAAAGCTTTTCCTCCAGCCCACATAATTATCTGAACACCCATGTCTGTTCGCTTTCTCTTTTTTGTCATTCTGCAGACTGAGGAGACAAAAAAAGAAAAAGGTTTTTAGTTGCTCACAGTCCCTAACAACCCATGTTTAAAGCTCTCTTTCTTTAACACGTCTAACCTGCTTCATGACTTCTAAGAGTTTAAGAGTCAGACTTTCTAAAAAAAAACCCAAAACTAAGGCTTAAATTTTGATTGCATCAACTAGAACAGCAGAGCGCACACTGGGGTACAGCCTCAGCTCTCAAGAAATGTCACTTTACTATTTGTTTGAATGTTACAGTGACAATTTACACCAGTAAAGACTGAGCCCTCCAGCCTTTTCATTTCTGCCCTGCAGCTGTTTCAAGAAAGCAGTTACCTTCTAAGCACCTTCTTCTTTAGCAACTCTCACGTAGCATCCTGGAGTCAGTGATCAAAGTCTATAAAGATTAGATGCAACCATAATGCTGACCAGGATTGGATAAGGGAGGAAAAGAGAGTAAGGGCTGTACAGTGCCACAATCCATCCCAAGTCAGATGTACCCCACATGCTGGAAGGAGGAATTACACGCAATTTCCTTCCTCTCTCCTCTCAAATCCATCCCTGGATACAGCACAGATCAGGACATTTTCTAAACCATTGTCGTCTACGTTAATTCAAAATGGAAAATCATGTTTCCTGTAACGCTTGTGAAAAAAAAAAAAAAGGCCCTGTAAAACCCTTCTCATAAATTCATTAGGAGCTGGTAAGCACAGAAATGAAGGACAGTGAGAAAGTAAACTCTCCTTGATTTCTTACTCTTGTAACTGGTGTAAGATACTGCTTTGTGCCAGCAAAACAAACAACTAATAAAACAGTGCAGTGGAGCAATGAAAAAATCAGAGCATCAGCTATAAAGATAATTGTTAAAATGTATACTTCATAGTTGCCTGCCATGATGAGTTTAGCAAACTTCCGTGATCCTGCAACATTGCAACGTTCACCAATATTAACGAAGTTCGTGTATGGCCCAATCCTGAATGGTTCCAGACCTTAAAAAGATATTTTTGAACATATTCGTAAAAACACAAAAGAAAAAACTGTGTAAGAAAGATAAAATCTCTGTTCTAAACTGTGAAATAGAGGTGTCTCTCTCTTTAAGAATAGTGATTTCTCAGCACAACAGGATGTGCATAAGTCTAATGAGTAACTAGCAAAGAAATGCAACGAAACAACTTCCAACACATATGCCAAAGGTTTCTATCCTTCCTCAATGACAGTCAGTAATTTACATGACCCACAAAAAATAACAGCCAATTTGTCCAATATAAAATGATGCGAAGCTACGATTCTTTGGGCATCTACATGTGTGCATATACACACCTTCTCTCAACTTCCAACTATGTTATCTCATGACCCTACCGTCACCAGACAAGGAGCCCACTGAACTGACTGACAAAAAAGGACAGCTCTTAACCACATACCCAAGTGCAGAGAAACAAGCCAAGTGGGACCCTTGGGCAGTGGGCAACTCAGAGGCAAACAAAGTTCACAGCAGAACAGAATGCATGAAACCACAGGCCAACCATGACTTATTTAACTTACGCTGAATTGATTTGACTTCGAGATTAAAATATCAGACCAAAAAGAGGGTAGTTTTACTTGGATACATCGCCTAGAGGCTTAAAAGAAGGCCTGGCTGAGGAATATACAGATCTAGACTTTGTTAAACCAAAAGACATTCTAGTTCCGTATGTATTGCTGGAACACTGTCCCAGTCCTACTGGATCGACATCTGAGGAGACATAGGGCAGCGCTCTCACAGCAGGAGAACAAGGATCTCATCCCGGCTCTGCCATCAACTGCAGTCAAATTACCTGATCTCTCTGGGCTTGACCGTCCCCTGCTGCAAAGGGAGGGTAAAGGTACTCACTCATCATTACACAGTGTCTGAGACTTGCAGAGTAAAATATGCTGGCTTGGTTATATTATATAAGATTGTAATAAAATGTTTCATTAATCCTTTAGCCAAAGCAGTAAGATTTAGATCTGGTTACACATCCATAAGCTTGCTTGATTCAGGTAGAACCAGAAACTCATAGGGCCGCTCTGAGCAGCAGGAAACAGCAAATAAATTTATAAAGTAAGGTTGCATGAGTCATAAATCTCAAACTGTTACACTCTGTTTTACCTGACAGCAGCATGTATCCTTGAGAGAGAGAAGGTGGAACACGAGGCTTACAGAATTTCACAGCTTCGGCAATTTTCCTGAGTTACAGAAAAAGGAAAGTAAAGAGTAAAGTTTTCAATTAAAATTAAACCGCTCCAGACAAGATTCAAACAGAATATACCAGACATATACCAGCATCTCCAATTTAGCCCTGTAGCAGACAAGACTAATTAGCTAGTTTCACTTTGTGTGGCCACAGGCAAAAACATACACCCAGAAGATCTTATCATAGCTATTTGCAGGGAACATACAAAGCTGAAGATCTATCAAATACAGAATGTGAGATACTATGCCAACAGGATACTTAATGGATATCAGAACCAGTCCTCAACCATGCTGACTCTTACCATATTCACGATTTGCTGAGCTGAGCAATTGCTGATGATTGCAGCAAAAAAAAACCCCAAGGGACAAACATCCTTCTGTGCTGAGATATGTTTCTCAGATGCCGGAATGTCTCACGGTGTTCACATTCACTTTCTCTTCGCTCCAGTCAGGAGCGACACACAGTGTCCTCTACACGTTCACATACCACTTCTTCCCAGTTTGTATCAGGGTAAAAGGAATCACAAGGGCCCCTTCTCTTTCAAGCCCAGGTGAAAAAGGGCAGTTTTCTGACTGACCTGCTTCCAGTGAAAAAGATCTGAAATGCTCCTTCTGGCTGGCCAGGACTAGCACCAGCTGTACAGCATTCCCAGATCTCCTGCTCAGACATTTCCTCCCCACACCCACACACCTTCCTTCCTTCTACCATCAAAGGAAACCTGAAGTTTCACCTTGTGGCTAAGAGTGCCAGAAAGAGAAAGAACTGACGGCGTAAGGGAACAGAGACGGGAAGTCTATTCTATCCAACAGTGAAGAGGGAGGAGTAATTCCAAAACAATTTTAGATGACAGAACAGAGGTATAATCCTTGTTCGAACCATGCCTCTACTCATTCTTCATGACACACACAGCCATGAAAGCCAGGTTATTTCTACTCCATATATTGCTGCTTTTGGCATTCAAGTGATCCATCTTTTCAAGAAACTCTAAGACAAGCCATGGAATATTGCTCCACAGAAGCAGCACTTAATTTACTCCCCAGTGTACCTAAAGTTGTAGCTCATGAGGTACCTGATATGTGCTGGTGTAGTACCACAGCAACCTCCAACTATGTTGACCAAACCATCCAAAGCAAAATTCTGTAAAAGGGAGAGAAAGAGAATTTTGTTTCAGGTTAATAAAGGTAACTTCTATATATACTTTTTATATATATATATACATTCTTATTTTTTTCTCCATATGTTAAGCAATTCAGGGGGATCACAAGAAAAAAAAATTAAATTAAAAAACAATCAGTATTATTTCTTCTCTTCACGATTTGTTTTGAGATGTGGATTCCCAAGGCTAACCAGCAATTTCAACACTTAATTTTAGGAAACTACATTTGAAACTGGCTTATTTTATACTGAAGCCCCAGATGAAAACTTGGATGAGTATCAAAGGCTAGTCATACTGTATTATAAAAGGGAATTAACATGCAGCAGATACTGTGTCCTCGCTGACACTGCAGCTCCAGCCACACAGTTCTGCCTTGCACAGATCAAGTGGCGTGTGGAAGGACACCCTGCACTGGACCACCACCACCACCAGTGGTTCCTATACACACAACTCTGTAAAATTCTGCCAAATTCATAAAAACCACTCAGCTTTTTGAACAATTCCCAAATGTAAAAGTAAGAACATAGGAGTACAAATTAGTAATATCCACAGATCAAGCTGCACAAAAGCTACTTAGTGTAGGACATGAAAGTAATTAAGGTTTTCAGAGTCTCTGAAGTAGTTTTTCCTAACCTGGTACCTCAAATCACTATCATTCAGCAAATTGTCTATAAACAATCCGAATGACATCTAGAGCCATCTGAGGGGGAAAACAAACAAACCAACCAACCACAATATTGTAACAAATACACATGAAACACAAGCAAAGAATTCTTGTCTAATGTCAGATATGACACACTCACAAGAAATATTTCATACCTTCAGATGCCTGGCAGTCACTTCTGGAGTTTCATCATAACCACCAAAAGTATTGGGAAGACCTTGAAACATAATTTTTCTAGTATTACAGTTTGCTTAAAGCCCACAAGAACAGAATTAAATTCCATAAAAGACACATTTAAAGTAGCTACACTTGTATGTGGACTAAAATTCCTCATCACCCTTGCAATCATTACTCAATATATTAATTATGCGAGAGCACATTCTGGGTTCACTGTCATAGAACTAACAGTTACTTTCAGCAGTTTAAAATATTCTTAATCCCTATTTAATAGTAAAAACAATCATCTTTTCAAGCTAATTTGACTCTATTATTGCTAATGAGAGGGAATGGTTTAGTTATGTTTCATCTGCCTGTAAGCATAGGAACACGTGCACCAACACACCTGCGTTGGGGTAACAGATGATGTAGGCTGTTGTACATTTTCCAATTGTTTCAATGAACGGTCGCATTTCAACTGCCCCTAAAGCACAATTTAAGCCGATACTGGAAAATAAATTTTCAAAAATTACCTTGAGGTAAAAACACCTTTTACATACAAAACAGATGAATGTTAATGCTGGCAATTGCTAGCTCCCATAATCATCTACAACAAAACCAACCTGATCTCCAATTTCTTTAATCATCATCATCAATACAGCAAGACTGTGCAAAAGCGGAACTCTCGGGTGGAAGAAAAGCGCAAGGGGGAAGGGGGCTGGACTGGGTTGAACTGGGAACGGTAAATGAAGATTTCATTTCAAAATCCAGGAGGAAAGTGGCAGCATTTTGACAGCAATTGCAGCAACACGACAGCTCTGTATTTTCTAGGTGAGAGAGAGAACAAGTGGAAGGAGAATAACAGACTGGAAAGGAGCCTTGTGCTAGAGGAAAAAGTATGAAGGAGGTTGAAAAAGCAAGAACTGCTTCAAGCCACTAACATTATTTTCTTCTAAAATTATACATAAATCATGTCAACCTTGGAAGAAACCAAGTGCCTCCCTCAAGATGCCTCATGGCAGCACTAAGCTTAGGCAACTGAATCTGCTACATCTTAGTAACCAAGACAGCACTACAGCAGAAGTATTTTTGCATGAATAAGCTTCTCAAACAATTTTATCAGTGTATCTGGTACAATCATGTTTTCTTTCATTCACATAAATGTGACTTGAACTCAAAATGTCTACATTGATATTAAAAAGGGAAATTTCTCTTTCAGAAAGCATGTAAGAGATCTTTTACATATGTTTCCTGATCTCTCTGCACCCTTCTAGAAACCATCTTATGAGCACTGCAAAACTTGAAAGGTGCTCACAGTGGTGCTGGAAAAGGAAGATGTTAAAAAAGAAAAAAAAAGCTTTCTCCTTTCCTGGAATAACGGTCTCAGAGAGGATGCACGCTAACCCACTGAAACAGGAATGGATAATCTCCCAACTCACGGAGCCACAGAGGCTGCTTCGGAGGTAACTAAGTTAATAAAATGCACATATGCCCACTTACTTTCCCAGAGGTCAAAAGCAATAAAGCCCTGCACAGGACTAGGAATTTATTTCAAAGTGGGGGCTCATCCCTCAGGATTTTTGAAGCAAAGCAAGGTAAGAATGGTTAACAAGACTGTTCTTACCAAATGCAGATGAATGCAATGTATTTCCTACCGTTAAGTCATTCGATTTACAAGCTTCCAAGCTCACACTCCCCACACCCTCTTTTTGAGCTCTGTCCTGTATTAGGCAGCTTCATCTCTCCCTTCCACATCTAATATCCCTCTGTCTCTGGTTCTGAGTATAAACTCACCTGTCACACTCTTTACCTCACCTTACCAGAGAGATGCTGTACCAGCAGCCAGTGTATTCAGCAAACAAGCACTTTTTGATGTTCTCACTTCACTTACTAGGTACTGGCCCTCCAGACTGCCTGAATGATTACCCACTACAGGGTTTGCTGACAAATACATCAATGAGCACGACACCATCCAAGCATTACCTGTTTCAAAACCGTCAAGTCAAACTAAGTACAGACACGCACATTCATTCAGAAACAAAAAGCAGCTTCTGTGGTCAGGATCATCTCCCCACAGCACTCAACAGCATCATGAAAGAAAACCTTTGAGAAAAGCAAACTGTTAGCCATGCCTTAAAAGCTAGCAGCCTTGAACCAGACTGCCGGTATGTTATCACTGCTACCCTAGTGTAATAACCATCACACCCTCATCTTAAACATCACCTCTCTCCCTTGCTCATGTCTTCACAGCCGTCACACATCAGCTCCGGTGAAAGCTAAGGCTGTAGGGTGCCCTTGGGACCAGAACAAACACCACATCAGGGCCCAAAACTCAGCGTACGTCTTCTTAATGCTACCACAGTAGACACAATCCCAGAATCCGAAATAACTCAAAGGGAACTCATGCCACATCTGAGCACCTTTCATAGCAAGTGCTTGCCACACATCTTTCAGCACTTACTAAGCACAGTTCACAAGTTCACGAGATACTACCTGTATCTACCGCACACAAAGCACACACTTTTTAGGGACGTCTCCAAACCAAACTGACTTAAAGACAACATATCATCCTCAACAGGACATACAAAACCCAAATGGAAACACGTGAACATGTATAACACGATCCCTAGGATACCAGTATTAATCAGGTTTTTCACAACCCTAAAGCCACTCTGTACCAATTTGGCAACAGAAACAACATTAAATGCAATCTGCTCCCACAACTAAAGCCCTTCTGCCACAGTGCCGTATAGTAGCCTTCACATAAATGAGAAGAGGGCCCTAAGCGTTCAGACCCATAAGATAGCTTTTATGAAATATGGTTTAATAAATTCTTGATTTCTGCTCCAGTGCCCTTCTCTCCTCTTCAGAGGTGAGAGAGTTATGAGAAAGATTATCTGAGACAGACTCACGCCAAATATGGATCACTAGGCTGCGATGCTGAGAGGAGTCAACTACCACCCTGTTCCAAAAGGCTCCATATGTTACTTCTGGAGCACCGTCTGGTCTGGGAAAGTGGAGCCTCAAGGGCAGTCAGGAAAGCTGTGAATGCAGTCTTCTGCTTTTGTATCACCGAGATGACAGACTGCGTGTTTTAGCTGGAATTTTGTTGTAAAAACAAACAATGGCTCATCACAATGTGCATGGCATGCACTGCTAACAGCGAATTAAATGTTTTAAGTTAGAATATTCGGGGGGGGGGGAAGGAATCTATTTCTGTTGTAAGTTTTTGTGTGAAGAACCAACCTGAGAGAAGAAATGGTAAAGAGGGAAGAGGAGGCAAGGAGGAAGTAGAATAGGGCATAGAAACACAGAAGAATAGAGAAACTGGAAATGGTATTCAAATTAACATGCAAAACCTTGCACAATGACCAAAATCTGCTATATTATGCATTTTCACAGACCTTAATCTCATACTTATTTCAACTTTTCTGCCCAAACATTAAAGAAAGCAAGTAAATGGAGGCATCAGAAGCTCTCAAAACAACAATTCACATCCTTGAGAAAAACACTCAGGGAATGTATACATTTTTATGAGAGTTCAGTAAAAAGAACACTGGAATGAAATCTTATGATTTGGTCTTTCAACCCACCCTGAAACATTCTGAGTTGGCACCGCTTCCCTCTAAGGAAGAGAGGTAAACCCTGCCCATACCAGGAATTAGCTCCTTGCACAATCTGAGACAGTAGGAGCTGGAAAACTACGGTTTCAGAATTAATTTTTTTTAACGCTTTGACCTAATTGTGATTTCAGCAACTGTTGCAAACACAAAACTGCAGATTATTCAGAGCAATGTTTTAATAATTCAGCATTCTTTGGAAACATAATTTCTGTTGAGGGAACAACAGCAGAACACGTTAGCAATACATGTGATTGAGTACGATCACAGTTAGTACAGCTCCCATTTAGCTGCAAGCAAGGGGTTAAAATAGAATTACAATCTACAGGTAACTCACTAAGAGAAAGATACGTTTCCTTACCAAAGTGGTTTACTGTGGGAAACACTAATGACAAATGCCTCCCCTGTCTGGCCTGAGAGGGTACGCCCACTCTTATCCACAATGGTTCCAGAAACCTAATTATCAGTTAAACACAGAGAGAAGAGAAGAATTAAATTAACAATAAAATCAAGAATTTAAATGGTTGAACTGCTAAAAGTCAAAGCAGAGGGACCTTTGCTCCACTCAAAGTGATGAGGCACAATCTAAAGACAAAAATTAAACCCTTTCCTCCCTATAAACATTTAAATATTTAGCTAGGGGAAAGGCAAACTTTGACCACTCTTCTTTTTCTCTCTCTCTCTGCCTCAGGAGGAGAAAAAGAAAAAAAAAAAAAAAGGGGAGGGGGGTGGAAGAAAGAAAACTACCATGAACCATTCAGCATCAAGGTAGCATTAGTACCACGATATCATTCCGATGATGGCCTCTGAAACAATCTGCAGTGGTTACCTGTTTAGGCAGCCATCAGCAGTCACAGCTTCTCTCCTCCTCATCCTCCTTACCTCCCCCTTTCTGTTACTTCAGGTCTCAGGACTGCTATTAGGTTGTTTGGCGGTGGTTGGAGGGGGGTGGGAGAGGGGGAGCTGGCTTTAAAAACAAGTTTACTCGTTTTGCTACAAGGGAACATCAGATGTTGCAACTTCATAGTGGAGTAGAACTCTTAACCTGTATAATCATACTTCTTTACTACTATACAGAGAGAGATGAACAAATAAACAATAATGTCTTGACCCCAGAAGAACTAGAAAGCTGAGAATTCAGGAGGCATTTGAATGAGCCAGAAAAGCCTTCCCAAGCCTACAAATCTTTTTTCCAGAAGATGGAATGAGTTTAGAAGACTCCATGCAAAGGTAAATCCACTATTTACTCTAAAACATGCTTTAACATTGATGCTACTTTCCTTCAAACTGCTCAGTCAAGGAAGGTGACCAGGGCAATCCTAGAGAGAGTTGTGCTAAGGGTTGTACTTCTCAACATAACTGAGCTGGAAAAGGAGCAGAGAATGAGGCAATCAAGCTCACTGACCACTCTGTTCAGTACAATGAAGACAAAGTCAACTCTACGAAATCAGAAAACTCTCAATACTAACAGACTTGAACGATAAAGAAGTGGAAACTCATTGCTGATCAAGTACAAAGTTGTGAACACAGGAAAAATTCTCCATAATGTTATCTCCAAACTAGTCTTCACTGCTCAAGAAACTAATTTGAGTAACAAAACAAAGTTATATGAATGCAATTTCAAAGCTCACTAGCAGTAAAGTAAAACGTCAGGAACTACAAAGAAAGAAAAGGACAAGGCAGAGGACATCACTAGGCTATCATACAAATCCCTGCACTTTGACTGCTGTATGCTATTCTAATTCCCCTCTGATTCAAAGAAGTGGAAAGCAAAAATGTGACAAGAATAATGAATGAATGCTATGGAACAGCTAAATAGACAAGGACTCTTCAGGATGAAAAGACGATGACTAAAAGAGGCTCTCAGAGAACCATAAATGCCACGACTACACAGCAAAAGGAACATGGAACAGCTGCTCACTGTCACTAGCAAGAATCAAATGGCAAGATACAAAAGAAGTTATCAGGCAAAATATCCAAAAGTAAGCAAACCTTCAAAACCAGCGCATTCATAAGCTCTGAAAGTTACTGGCAGGTTATTTTGTGGATGCCTGCGTCCCACACAGGTTTGAACATAGGTTCAAGGAAGGAGTAGATGCATTCAACAAAAGGGTACGAACAGATACAAACAGATCAGAAAGCCGGGGCTGCAAACTGCAGGAAACTGGAAGAATACATCAGAACTTTCAAAACAAGCTTATTCTTTTTCTATACCTGTTCCTAAACATTCATGACTGCCCACTGTCAGAAAAAGACAGGTCAGAAAAAGGATACGGAGTCAGACAGACCTTTTCTGATTTCAAATGGCCACTCGTATTCTACTTGAAAACATGGCAGAATTTGCTTAATTTAATCCTTGAAACACTGGTTCTTATTACCCTTAAGGCAGCAAACCTGACAAAACATCATCAGACTTTTCTCTGTGGAAATACACAGAATGAATACACGCTGGAATGAAGCCATTCCTTAGTCTTCAGATTGATAAACTGGACAGAGCTACCGAAGGCCGATTTCATAAAGCTCTTCATGTAAGAATTTTTCCTTTCACAATCATGTGAATAAAGTATGTTTCCAAGACATTTCTTTCTTTCATTTCAAAGCACTTTCATGAACTGCCATCTCAGCTAGTTCACAAATCAACTTAAGTATATGTAAAATACTAAACAAATAATATATACTTACAAATATGGGTCGGGGAGCATACTCTTCCTCAAACAATGTCTGGAGTGCAAAAAGAGCTGCCTATAGAAGAATAAGTTGCAAAATATTAATGGACGTTTCAGGAGTTCCTCAGTTTGTTCGTGGGGTTTTTTTGTTTGCATGGGTTTGCTTTTTTTCTTTTTAAGTATTTTTTATGGTTGTTTATGGAACTTACTACCTCACATGGCCTGCGAGAACTTACTACAATAAACAGGTTTTACTCTTACCCTTAACATCTTCCAGATGTTCCATTTTGGTAACAAGCAGAAAGGAAGTACCATGGTGTAATCAAATAAGAGTAAGACTACTCTGAAACCCAAATCACATCGGCACGTACTTCCCCCTCACGTGTGCAGCACAACCCCCACCCCAAACATGGTTGTATACAATTCTCAGCCCACATCCTCTACCCTTAAATCTGTTTAGACAGGCAGTTTGCAAAGGCTTCTACCCTCCACAAATTTTAACAGTAAGGACTGCAGTGATCCCTTGGAAGGTCCTGAAAATTTCCTGCCTTCTTCGGGTAAGAAAGTTGCATGTGAACATGAGCTCAGCACTGTGTTAAGCCTACAGGATCCTAGTCAAACTGCCGTGATGACTGGTCATACCTGCAAAGGGCAGGTCACACCACTGCACACGTTGATCAGCCTGTGGCAAAAGCCCGAGGAAATGCTGCGTGCGTATCCAGCCAGACTTCTCTACACAAAATTGCCAGACAGTTTTAAGTGCCCTAACAACACTACCACCTGCACCAAGCAGTTATTAGATATAGAAGGTGGTGTCAAAATCACCTGAATTGTGGCATATTTTCACATTTTATTCCTCCTATTTTACCCTTCTAATCCTCTACTCCCAATTGTTCTTTTTCAAAGCTGATGGCAGAGTGTCAGAGTTCCCAAACCCCCCACATTTTAACAGGACTGTCTCACAAGCCCTCCCACGTCTGCATCAGATACCCTGGACATTCCCTCTCCAGGGTGCATCACAAGCATCATTTGGACAGACATGCTTATGCTGAAAAATACAAACATCAGATGCATTTGGAGATGTTTTGCAATACAGCAGAGCTTCTGGGAGTAAGAGGACAGCTGGCACAGACAGCCAGAAAGATACTAACAGCGCATATTAAAAGGCAAAGGAAAAGCTCTGGAAAAGTCTGATTAAAAACTACCTCCTTGTATTCTACCTCTTTGCTATCAACTGAAGAGTCTTTTAATGTATTTCATCAGCAGTAGCTGATAGCTCTTACAAGTACCATGTTGAATTTCCTTAAGTAGTACACCAAATACTTCTATTACTGAGTATTTTTTTCCAGGAGTCTCACCTTGGCATTGGCTGTATCAAATATAGTTTCCACTAACAAGATATCAACTCCTCCATCCAAAAGTCCTTTGGCTTGTTCCTTATAGGCTTCAACCAGTTCATCAAAAGCTGTAAAACAGGAATGATGTTTAATTTCATCTGGAGGTATCTCTTTCAAGACCATTACCTAAGTTAAATAACTTGATGGTTATGAATACTTACTTATGTTCCTATAATCTGGTCTCTCCACAGATGGTGACACAGAGAGTGTCCTGTTTGTTGGACCCATGGCTCCAGCAACATATCTCCTAATTCCTAAACCAAGACACATAAAAAAAAACTTAAAAAGTAAAAACCACAAAAACCACAAAACAATTCACCTCTGGTTTTACAATGACAGCCACGTCAATGTAAAAAACCTCCAAGGACACCAAGACATGAATATCATTCAGGGATGAAGAACTATAAAACAGGAAGTTCCTGTCTTAAATCAAGAGTTTGATCAGCACAAGATTACCCAGCACAGCTGACTTTTTTATTTTAATCCCATCTGGGAAGGCACTCCGTGTATGCACGAGGCAGAAGAACATCTATGAAAGAGGCAATTGGCTCAATTAATTTCTCTTCTAAGTATTATTTGTCTCTGACACAGGAAGCTTCATTCAATTATTTTAAATTCAGAGCATAGAACTGTCCTGACATTTTTCACTAGATAACCTGATTTGAATATTCTGGCATGTGTTCATAAAAACAACCCACTTTTTTTTAAAGCATATTTCAAATCTTACATTTTTATTGCATACTATGAATCACATCAGTAAGGTGTTATCTGGACAGCAGCAGCAGCACTGTTAGCTTAAAATACAGTTTAATGCCAGAACACAAGAGGAAATCACTTGTCTTTGAAAGACAGCATTGTCTACAGCAGTGTAAATGAGCTATAACTCTCTCACGTAAAGCCTGGAAGATAAAAGACTGCACATTTACAGATGATGGTCACATACTAAGCACATTCTAGTAGCTGCTGAGTAAAGTCAAACCACAAGACTTACACTAGGAGTAACTGGTAATCCACATTTACCTACAATCAGCTATCCTAATTCTGTAGTGCAAAGACTTGTGCAATGCAAACTTAAGTAACTTATAACAGTCCCTGCTGAATTGGTTTTCTCTAACATGCATCTGGAAGATGTGTACTGCCTGCAGTCTAAACTCGGCAGGCACAGGATAGCCATCCAGCAGAACACACCAAGGACCAGATCCTGTAAACATGCTGAAATCAGCGTGATACCAAGAGATGTGAAATTGCTACTGTGCCTAAAATGAAGAGTGTGCATGTCTGCAAGTTATGTCCCTGTGATGTAAACTATCAAGCTATCCTCTAGTTAGCAACATTTCAAAGACTGTAGCAAGACAGTCAAAACCACAAATGAGTAAGAAATTAAAATAAATACTGCTTACCTGTCTGAACAGTTACATCATCTGCTGCTTTTCTGGCCACCTTCGCAGAGACTCTGTTTAACTGATATGCCTAGAACAATTACAGAACATTACCAAGTAACCTTTAGTTTCGTACAGTGTAACTCATCCTCAAAGAAACATGCCACTTCCATTCAGCAGCTCGCAGTACGCTCTGAAGGCCCCTAAGCCATACCACATATAAGCACTTGAAAATGAACAGCTCTATACATCTATACAGCAACAGACATACATGGCAGGTCTCATCTCACAAACGCCCCAGCCTACAGCTGCTAATCATAAAATTTCATTCTGTAAGGTACTAATTAAATCCTGCTGAAGTCAACAGAAGCTGAAGAACAAGACTTTGAGGACAAAATTAACCTACTTTTAAATTCACTTTTTATTGAAGTAGCATATTTCCAAGTATTTTCTTTCACATGTTTCTCAAATTCTCAAAACAACACCTAACACATAATAGGTATGACAAATGCAAGCTTGAAAGGACTTCTACATACACCAGCACAAACAACACACAAATAACATCCAGGAAAAATGCAGTTCCATTGTGGTATTTGGTAAGTTGGAAGGACTGAAGCAAAACATCCCTGTTCAGAGAACTGAGACATTCTGTGAATGCCCAAACAAAATCTAGGACAAGATTTTGCCTTCGTCAACAAGAGGCACACTGTGACTGTCACACACAGCAAGTACAATTGTCCACAAATGAGCTACAACTCCACCAGATGGGTCAAGAGGCAGTGTGCAGGCAATAAACACAACACCAACAGACACTGGGACTAAGCTAATCTCAACTGCTAAGACAAAAATTTTGATTAATATTTTAACGTGTAAATAATTTAGCATTCTTACCAAATGCTCAAGGCCATAGTCAGCTTGTGCAACTCGGGTGCTGCTGAAAGTGTTAGTTTCAATGATGTCAGCACCTGACAGCAAGTACTCCTGCAAGACATGAAAGAAAAAAAACTCCAAGACCTCCAGAACTGAGATATGGAACAAAAGCAACCCAACTACTTTGTCTCATACAGTCAACAAAAAGTCACAAATCATCTCCCAACTCAAAGCAGACCAAACTCTGAAGGCCTTACTCAAAGGCACAGGGCCAAAGCAATAAAAGTGTTCCATATAACCAGAGCTTTAGTGTCAGCCACACTTTCTATTAACAGGTGACATTTATAGTCACCTCCGCCACCGAGCCCAGCATCTGGAGCACATTCTAGATTTCTGCACAGGGACATGGTTGGACATGTTCCAATTGCCACCAGCAAGCGAGGGCTGCTGTGGGCAGACTCAGAGAAAGCACTAGTTAAACAACTACAGAGGATTAGAAAATTTAAACATTCTGAAGGGAGTTGTACAACACAGGAGCATACTGGGACAGAATACAAACTTAGGAAAATGATGTTTTGTGCAGATCACATTTAAAGGTTAACTAATGGCCCAGATTCACAAAACAATTAAGCCCTTTGCTCCATTTTGGTTGTCTAATTCCCGCTGAAGTAAACTGAAATCAATGCAAACTGAAATATTTTTGCAGATTCTAGCCTGCATTTTTATAACCTCTATCAGTTGCCCTCCTCCCTCCCTAACTCCTCTTCTTGATCAGGTTAATCCTTAGGTGACCCCTGCACCTTCAATGACATTAAGACATCTGAAGTGCTTAGTAAGTCAAAAATACTGATGTGGCCATTAAACATAAACCACTCAGATTTTCCTATAAGAAGCAGATGAGCTCAGCAGGTCCAACAGGGCAAATAAAGTCTTGATCCAAATGACAGGAGAAAAGAATTACATTTGCTTTAAAACATGTTTTGCTGCAAACTAATATGCTTTCTCTCAACTCCTCCTGGATACATATGGAAATATCTACAAATACTTATATGAAAATATACAAGTTCTTACATGTACACTAATAACCAAGTAATGAAGTTTCTGAAAATCATCTAGACTAAAGACGTTAAACGTGTACAGCTTTGTACTAGCTTTTGTTTAGTTCAGATCTGTCATTTTAGCAAAAATCCTTCAATTTTACTGTCTACCACCCCAGAAGGAAATAATATGCTCAAAGCTGGAAGATCATTTTTGCCCTTGAAATTATATCACCTGTATTACCACTGAATCTTACTCTGCCAGACAAGGTACAGCTAACATTTACTTTTCAAGTTACTGGTATCTGAGAGATCTGACTCACTGGACCGTTAAAAAAAAAAACAAAAACAACCTACAACCATATGTATTGTGGGATTATAGTTACTCTGTAGAAATATTTTCATCTGTTATTTCGAGTTCTGTCCTATTCTCAGAAGAAATAACCACTGGCAGCTATAAAATATGAAGTCACTGCCCAGGGCTCAGAAAGTACCCGACCCAAAAGTTGCTGCAGGCACGGGGACCGCCACAGACTTGTTCTTTTCTTACGCATTTCCTAAAGCACCTACAACTGGCCACTGCAGGGAGGACAGCAGGCTACTTGGTTTGACTCAAAACATTCACTCTCAAGTCACATCGCTATTGCTCTGCTAAACCTGCAAAATCCAACTGTTAAACTGACCGCTACAGCTCAGTTGACAAGTCTAGGGACTAAACAAAATCTACAGATATTTCCTCATGACATTGTTATAGGTCAAAGACTGATTCTTTTCAACTTGGCATTCTTAAAATCCAAAGAATGATAGAATGTAAACATAAAAATACAGATTATATATCAAGTTTAACAAATGTAAGCCAATTATGATTCTAAGCAATGAAATACAGATTTTTTTCATAAATAATTGGAAAACCCCAGAACAGATGTGAGGCTTCAACTGAATATCAACTAGCAGCAACGCTATTCAAGTGTTCTAATTATTACAGTAAGACCTACAAATACCTGCAACTCAAGAAATACGAGACTTAGGAAGTTGTTTTCCAAAGTTTATTTGAAGATAGGAAAATAATAAAATGTTTGCAAACTCCTAATGATCAACCCTAGACTGTTTTATTCTCTGGGTCACAAATTAATATTCTAGGGAAAACTCAAGAATGTGGAAGCACATATATTCATTAGGAAGCCAGTATACTCATTAACTATGGAGAGATATGCTTCAGGTTGCCACATTTAACAGCTCTTTTATACACAATTATAGAAAAACGCATCCAGAATTCAGATATGTCCTACTCAGATGCATTTCAAGTGCTGATTGAGGAGGAGAAAAGGAAAGAAAAAAGAAATAAATCGGAATCTACAATAGAAATGCATCAGGGACGTAAGTTAAAAAGGGATTTAAAAACAACACAGCCTGGGTGACATCAGGAACCAAGACAGAAATGCTGTGCTCACACAACCAGAACAGTCAAATCTGCTCATTCACATGGTTACCTAGCGCGCTCTTCCCTATCCCCAAAAGGCACAGCAGAGCCAGCAGCCTGTGGCATGCAAAAGGGGAGCACAGAGGCCAAATTCTCCTTCCGTCTCTTGTCAAGAAATCAGAACCACCTACCTTGTGTATGTCACAGATTATATCAGGTTGAGTTATACTGAGAAGGTCATTATTGCCTTTCAAAGGCCTGGAATGATCTTTAAATTCATGCCCTCGGAAATCCTCTTCTGACAGGGCATGTTGCTGGATCATGGTACCCATGCCTCCATCCAAAACCATTATCCGCTCCTGCAGAATTGATTCAATTTCATATTCCATGCTTTTCTGGGGATCTGCTGTAAGAAAGAAATCCAGTATTTAAGCAGCTTTGAAATTCCCTACCTATATACTTGTGCAACCTGAGCTCTTCCCTTTTCAGAAACAGAATAAAATAACTAATCCTGTACTGAAATCAAACAGTAATTGGTTTACTTCACCTACAGCTCCAATCACCTGATGTCAGGTAATAGCTGCATCTATCCAAACAGAATTGGACTCAATCTGTCCTTCACCTAAGTAGAGTCACCTGCACACAGTCAGCTGCAGAAAAAAAAAGAGTATCAAAGGTTCACAAGGGCATACATCAAACTCTCGATATCAACTAGTCTCCAACACTGAAAAATGTGACAATTTCTACCACAGCAACATTGGAATAGCACCTCAGAGCCGCTTCTTGGTACCAGACACCATACTGTAAGTGGTACCCAAGTGCAAACCAGAAACAAGTACACTTCATTTTTAAAAAAAGATCTACTTTAATTGCCTATACCACAATGATAGAGAAAGAGAAATAAACTGAGTACGAAAAAACAATTTTTCAACTGGGTCCCAAATTCACATCCTTCTACGATTAGGGTAGTAGATAACGATTTTGCACTTCTCCTAGTGAGCAAATGCGAAGATACACCAACAGATAATAGGCAGGTTTTACTTTCTTTTGCATAAACACAACAAGATCCTCTTCTGCTCCGCAACAATGCCAGAAGAAAACAAATCAGGCAAATCCCATGCTAATTATAACATACTGAATAGGGTAGGCCTAACAATGACTGAAACAGAAAACTAGACATTTCAGAGCTACCATTAGGAATGACGATGCAGTATTGTAATGCTTTAAGATCCCAAAGCCCATCCCAAACATGAAACAAAAAGCCAAAGCTATAATCTGAGAGATTAAAAAAAAACAACAAAACAACCCCCACCACAAAACCCCAACAAAAGTAATCCTACTTTTCTTCTTTAGAACGTATGCAGAATCATTTCAGAACGAAGACACATTTACATGCATCTAGCAAAATAATCAAGCAGCCTGTTTACCAAAACCCCGATTTACACAAGCAGGACCCCACTTATCTTTCACAACCACACAGATGAACAATGTGTCATTCTTCATCCCTCTCCTTCATTCAGCTTGCGCTTACACACTTTGAGCAAACACGTTTTGCATTGTGGTTATGCACTCTCATCAAAACACTTGTAAAAATGAATGGATTTCTAAAGCACAAAAATATCCTTACATCTCATTACAACTTACACACAGAAGTACTTAAAAATCACTGGCAACTGCTAACTGATTTGAGTTTTTTCCTTCTGCATTCTCGCAACACAACTTCTGTTTTGACATCAGTACTGTTAAAAAAAGAATATGCTGGAAAGAAGATGTGGCCAAGAATAAAGTATTACAAGGTTACATTCATACCAACGCTATGGAAAAAACAGCTCTAAATCAGTTGTAGTCTCAGCAAGAAGAGAAGCCAAATAAAATTTGCTCTGTAACAAGCATGAAGCATTTGAAGGGAGATTAAAATACAAAAAAGCAAGCCACCCGCGCTTCAAGTTGAAAGTTTTAACACCACACAGGCAGGCTCAGCAGGTTCTTATACAAGAGCTTAAACCTACTCACATTAAACAATCAAATTATTCATGAACATAGAATCAGTCCTCGAGCTAAAGGCTTTCAGCAGTCAGACCCAAAAAATTGTATCTGAAAGTACGGCTGCAATGCAGACTCCCACGGAGCATAACTCCTGTGCTTTGCAAGAGCTACAACCCAGTGAGAGACACACATCAGAGCTTGCTTTTGCTCTAGTGTCGCCTCCGAAGTCAACCCCTTGACGCCGAGAGCTGCAGCCCAGAGAGCTGAGCAGAGCCATCAGAGCCCTCCCAGAACCCATCCTCCTTTCTAGAGGCTTCTGTCCCTTTTACCTACGTGCTTCCCAACTATCTTCTCATACACACTGGGAAGCAAACAAAGATTTACAGTTTGGTTTTAAATCCTGCACTTCAAGTAGGCTGTTTTGCTTTGTCTACAGCTTGCCCTGCTGAACAGATGCCGCTTCAGTGTATGGTTTTCTGCTCAAAGGAGCACAGACTTCTGCCTCGTCTCTGCTCCCAGCTCCGCAAGAGCCTTATTCTGAAGAAGCTTTCAAAATCTGTGCTTCTCCAGCAGCATCTCAAAAACCTGCAGAAAACAGAGTAGGAATCTTGAAGGTGGCCATCAGCACCAGAGGTACACAGGCTCTACATTTTACAAATGGATGGCGTAGCTCCAAGCCCACCAAAACCCAATTTACCTCCCCTTGCTATGGGTAACACTTGACCCTGCTTCCATCAGGAGCCTACACTACTTGAAGCTGTGCTCTGGCACACGGACGATGCAATTCTCAAGTTGGAAACAAAAGTCTGCAGACAGGTCCAAAAAGACCCCAGAAATCAGACAGGATCGATTCACAAAGCCATGCTAGAAAGTGCTGAACTCTGCCCTTTGGAGAAAAGCAGGGAGGAGGCTGGGAGTCAGCTCTGCTAAACAAGTACTGTCATCTTAATTCAGCATTCAACTCACATAATTCCCCTCTCCAGCACAGACAGGGTGAAAGAGTTTGTTACAGAATAAATGAAAAAAAATGTCTGGAGAAATTCCTAGCAGGGAAAAATCAGGTCAGCCTTTTGTTTTGTTTATAAACCCTGCTCCTACCTCTGCTCAGCCAGAAGTTGATTAAAAATTTCTTTTATAAAGATCTGTCATGGTTTAAACCCAGCCAGCAATTAAGTGCCATGCAGTGGCCCACTCATTCCTTCCCCTCTCGCCCTGGTGGGATGGGGAAGAGAATCAGAAAAAGGCAAAACCCATCGGTTGAGCTAAGAACAGTTTAATAATTGAAATAAAATATTATTATTATTGTAATGAAAAGGGAGATAACAAAGAGAGAGAGGGAATAAAACCCAAGACAAACAAGTGATGCACAATACAATTGCTCAGCACCCGCTGACCGATGCCCAGCCCATCCCCGAGCAGCAATCGGTCCCTCCTGGCCAACTCCCCCAGTTTCCATACTGGCCATGCCGTTCTCTGGTATGGAATAGCCCTTTGGCTGGTTGGGGTCAGCTCTCCTGGCCGTGCTCCCTCCCAGCCTCTCGTGCCTCTCCTCGCTGGCAGAGCACAGGGAACTGAAAAGTCCTTGACTTAGGGTAAGCACTGCTAAGCAGCAACTAAATCATCAGTGTGGTATCAACGTTATTCTGATACTAAATCCAAAACACAGCACTGTACCAGCTACTAGGAAGAAAATTAACTTTATCCCAGCCAAAACCAGGACAAGATCACTGGTGAGCTTTGGGAAACGGATTCCCTCTTCCATTCAGAAGTGCCCAGGAAAAAAACTGCTATAACAGAAATGGTAGTGAACCAGTAGTGGTAACAGGATCCAGGACGAATTACCTTGATTTTACACTCTACTGAAACTTAAAATACAAAGCACATTACCACATAGTGTTCCAGGGCTGGGACTAGTTCAGCAGACCATACCAAGACAGAACAAAAGTGACCCAAAAGCACTGGCTTAAATGTCAATGGGATACAGAATGCAGAATGAAAAAATCCTAATACTTCACTTCCCCAAGGTAAACACTCTGGTTTGAGATCCCACGAACAGGGGAATTACTAGTCTGGAAAGGAGAAATGTTACCAGCTACAACAACTTGTACCCCTTGCAGATGTTTCCAAGTAAGTTTGCAGAGCACACAAGGTGTCCCTCTGGTACAGCTGTTCACCCCTACAGTCACTGTACCACTAACAATTACAAACTTTGCCCAACTGTAACCTTCCATCTTCCCAATGTGGCAATTAAACAGGTCAGGGGATAAGGCACCATGATGTTCCTTCATCTCCTTATCCCAACCCAACCCACATACAGGCCGCATGTGCAGAACTAAAGGGATAAACACATGTTCTCCACAAGAAACAGGACTTCAAAGCTTGCAATTTGCTTAAAATCACTTTTTTTCTGATGCCTGCAATGATTCTCGAAAGGTATCTTTTATTGTTTATGCACTTCTATTAAAAATTTATTCTTAGTATAGCAGTCTGGTATATAAGTAGTTGGAAAGGAATAAAGGATTACAAGTTGCTTCCAAAGCTTTTAATAAAGAATCAACCCAGCTGTGACAGTATCACAGTATTTTTGTCATGTTAATGTGAAAAAAACACAAATTGAAGAACTACAAGGAGCTATAGGCACTTACAGTGCCCTCCCGTTTCCTAGGTTGACCAGGTCCTGTCCTAACGGGCAACAGGGCCACTCCAGACTTGCACATCCTAATTCAGCAAACCAGCATTGCCCCACACCACCTCCAAGTACAAGTTTCTCCATCATTCAAAAAATTACCGCGCAGCACGCAGAAATTACAATAGTAGCTAGAAAGGATGCCCCTGCTATCAGCCTGCCACACACAGCTCATGACAACCTTAGCATTACTTGCTCTTTAATTAAATCTTCTTCAACTGGATGCCTTCTGGCAACATTAGGAATTTCATGAACCGTAGCAACAGATGGCTGACACATCCTCTACAACAGGGGACAGCAGCACCCTATTGCTAAGGTATTTGTTACCCTGCCTATCCAAAAAGAGAAGCATTGGATCACCTTGGGTACCTACGTGGACCTTGCTGACCTTTTCCGTGTTGGCACTTGTCTTAAGAACCATTCAGGTCTTCCATAACGGACAGATGCTTGTGTAGCCAATGCATTTACAAAGTTAGCTTGAAAGGCAAATGACAACCACAAAAGCCACTGATGTCTCAGAATAACAGGAGTCCTGTCAGTTGTGCCCACCGTGTCTAGCTAAACACGCAAATCCCAGGCTCAGAAAGCTTCCTGTGTTATAACCACAACTCTCCATCTCCCAACATTAAACTGTTCACGACAGGTGAACATTACAAACCAGCCTCCAGACCCACACGGTTTCACTTTGTGGCATGCCCTTCACGCAAAGCACTTTGCTCAGCTTCCCA